CACCTCCCTTCTTCTGCCCCCCTCCCCCATGCACCCTTGATAATTTATAAATTATTATTATATCTTATATTACACTGCCCGGCATCTCCCTTCACCTACCCCTCTGTTCCCCATCCCCCAGAGAGGAGGTTATATGTAGCTCCCTGTGATCAATTCCCCTTCTACACCCCCCTTCCCTCCTGGTATCGCCACTGTCACCCCTGGTCCTAAGTGGTTCGTCTGTCCTAGATTCCCTGCGTTTCCAATTCCCATCTGTACCAAGACTTGTATTTTAAAGGAAGCCTGATCTTTCAAGACCTTGAAAAGCACCAAGGGTAAGATTGCCAATGGTGAATATTAAAATTATATTCCCTCTAATGTTAGGATTAATGTTGATACCCTTTTTTTCCTACTGTAAAATAATTTTTACTCCTGTTTCTAAGTTGAACATTAAGTAAGAAATGCAAATCAATAGAGGTTAAACAGTCAATTCATACAATTAATAATGCACCAAATGGAGTAAATCATTCTCCTGGGCTTGTCATAGTGCAGAACTGCAGAAGTCAGGACTTAGAATTCTAATATAAAGATCTCTGACTTGAAAACAGAGTCTGAAATATAATCAATAAATGTATTTCTCTAAGTAAATAAATGAATTACTCAAGATATTCACTCCATAAATAGCATATAACCATTAAGTTATATGCTGAACACAGGATATTACTTTTGTATTGTGATGGTTGATCCTGATGATGGCTCAAAAGTGAAATAATGCATTTTTTGCACTTATTTGCATTTGCTGAAGCATCCTTTCTTTAATTTTATGTAAATGTGAATTCTGCTGCATATATTTAGAAAACTTGTTAACACAAAAATTAGCTTCAAAAGCATCATGTAGCTTTCCTTCTGATAAAAGCAAATGAATATTGTTTTGTTATATGGAAGATATAAAAATTATGACTTTATTTTTTAAGGCCAACAAAGATATATTTTGAAATTAATTACTCAGGTATTAGCATTTTAAATGATAATAAGTGACTCTATTCTAGACTGGATAATAAGTGAGTCTATTGTAGACTCAACAGACTCTAGAAGCACCTGTTACCAAAACCAACTTTCTTTTGTTGTTTTTTTCTAATTAGCATATACAACGTGGCGAGAATAGATATTTTTACTTCTGTCAAAATAATGTCTAAACTCACCAAACACATGGATTCTATATTCCCTTCATCAAACTAATCATTCAATAGATATTGTAAATACTCCTAAGAGCCGAGGTGGCACAGGGTGTGAGGCAGTGGACTGGGAACCATCAGCGGTGGAACCCACCTGCTGTTCCACAGGAGAAAGATGAGGCTTCCTCCTTCCATACAGTTCCAGTCTCAGAAACCCACCGATGCTCTGTCAAATAGGTTCACTGTCGTCGAAATCCCCTTGATGGCCAGTGAGTGAATGAGTGAGCGAGCGAGTGTAGAATGATGTCTGGTTACTGCTAACGTAGCAAGAGTATAACTCTTTGCATTTCATGTAATTTATGGTGGTGTACATAATTTTAAAGGTTCCAATGATGCCTAGCATGGTCTGTTGCCCTCTCAGTGCTAGATTTTGCTTGTTTTTATTACAGAATCTTGATGCCACGAGGTGGCAGAGAAGATGAAGTGTGGTGTTTCAAATATGCAGGGGAAAATTCTGTTTCCAATATTGTTTTCATCATAGTGGCATCTACATTCTTCATTCATTCAATAAATATTTATCGACGACTCACTGAGAGCCTGTCCCTGGCAGTTGAGAGGCGTTTGTTAAGTAGAAAATAGATGATGTTTATACACTAGTAGGAGAGGCAGCAAGCAAAAGTGCAATAAATAAATAAACATGAACACATGTATGAGATAAATAAATGGGTGGGAGACTTTCCGTGAAGAAAATAAACATAATTTCATCTGCAGAGGCAGGTAAATTGAGCCAAACCGCTGGGGCTGCAATCTTGCTGCTTCGGTTCAAATTCTCACTTCTCCACCTACTTGTAAGTTAATTCTCTGTCATCACGCAGAATGGACTCGCTGCCGTAGAGCCTGGGAGCTTTTGTTTGGTTTTGGTTTTGACTTTACGAAAACGACTTCACGTTGCTTTGTGAAAATAAGATACAAGTCCATGAATCTCCTATTCATGTAGGATAAGCGTGACTGGCACTAAGCCTGGACAAAAGAGGTGAGCCAACTCTTTCTCGGTGCTGGGCCATGGTCACAGTCCTATTGTGATCCTTGAAAGAAAGGCAATGCACATAATGAGCATGCAATCCTCAGCTTTTGGCTGGGTTTGTTTTCTGCCCCCGTTTAAGAAAATGGAGCCCACGTTAGATCCTGCTGAGGTGAAAGGGCAGAGATCAGAATATGGGGAAGCAGAAGAACCTGTACTAGAGAAGGAAAGGGGCCAAAGAAGTCAGTGTATAAGGGTAGCGTGAGGGAGAAGTCGCAGGAGGTTTGACACACATTTTCAGCTGGGGGCAGAGTAGCGCAGGTGAGCAGCGAGACTCCCCGCGGCCGAGCAGAGGTGGGACAGCACGTGAAGGAGAGCTCACTGGAAACATGGGAGGACTTGCAGACCACGGAAAGGCTGGCGTTCCAGAATGGAGAGACCTCCCATCTCAAGCATCAGGCCCAAATAGACCCGCTTTATATTAGTGATAAAAATCAAGCTTGAAACCCAAAAGATCATCTGACTGCAGGAAAAAAATATATTTTTAGTGTATTTTCAGAAAAGATCCATAATTCAGACTCCAAACATTCAACTGTTGAAATGTGCTATCTAACTTGAAAAATCACCACACATACATGAAGTAGGGGGAGT